CGGCCGAGGTGTCGGCCAAGATGAGGACGGTGGCGTGGGGCAAGGCTCTCCCTGACCCTCCACCCCCTTCTCAGGCACAGGCCTTCCTAGCCTTGCGCCTGCGGGCGGACGTGAGCCTGGAGCATCTACGTTTCATGTTTCTAGCTGGTTGGCAGGTGATTTCTGTAGCGAGTGGATAAGGGAAGCGATGGAGGTTGACGCTGTGCCCGTTCCCCGTGGAGGGAACGGTGCGGTGCCCGTCCAGGTCCCTGCGGCACAGCCCCAGCCTGCCGCCTCCCGGAGAGCGAGACCCTGGTGCGCCGCCTGGGGAAACGCTCCGCTAGGGTCCTGCTGTAGTGTCGTCAAGCACAGTCAAAACTATCTGGAGGACTGTCTCGACCTAAGTTTGTGTAAGGCCTGTGATGCGGCGCCTGGCTGGCTAATGGGGAACCTCTTCTTGAAACTTAGAGGTAGTACTTGAAAGATGCTGAGACCCAACGCTCTGCAGTATTCGTCTGGCAGAACGCAGAGACATCATCAAAGTGACCCCTGAATTACAAAGCATAAGGCACAGAGATTGGGGTAAGGGGAAAGTGATTGAAAGTGAGCACTTTCGGGGAATTGAGAAATCTAGTGAAGGAGTGTTAGAGAACATGAGAAGGCACTAGGAGCTGGAGATGCTACAATATACCCCATGAAGAAGCAACGTACAGTTCCGCTGAAAAACCAATAACATAAGGGGAAAGAACTGAAGAGATGGTACCATAAACGAATGCTAAAGAACCAGAGATTTTCTAAAAATCTCAGTACTGAAATACACACAAAAATATAGAAAATGTCATAAAAAAAAGAAAATGGAAGTGCATTAAAACAAAATGGGCTAATACTAGCCAAAGGGAAAAAACAAGCTCTTTTTAAAGTGCTTAAGTCGTTGTAGTACGTGAAGAAAAAGGTGAAATTAACGCTGGTTTCATTAATGGCAAAGTCCAAGCTCATTTTAAAAAACTGCATGTGCTGAGAAAAGAAAGTTTGGGCAATTGCAATATGCAAATCATAACAACAGGGATCATAACAACAGGGATTACATTTGGAAGAAAAAACTGCTGGTTTGGGTAGGTGCCGTTCTTCCACAACTGATATGCCTTTCTCATTTCAAATAATGAGTAACGGCAAAAGTGGTTCCCCTGCCATGAGTAGAGCTACTTCCAGAGCAATTCAGTGAGAAGCATTACCATACCCTAACCCAGGGCAACTAACAAGGCATCAAACTGGCAATTGGTGAAAATGTGTGTGGGGGAAC